CAAGCGCCGGAAAAAGCAACCCACCAGGAAGTAACCCGCCAGAAAGAGCAACCCGAGCACCAGAAAGAGCAACTCGCCGGAGCAGAGCAACAACAACAACAACAAAAAAGGAACAACACCAGCCACCACCATAGGGGTGCCGGTAGGTTGCCCCCACCCCATAATATATGTGGCCCTAGTTAGAGGACAACAAAAATGGTGACTAGCACCGATCTATAAGCCGCTCAGAGACCCCTAGACAGGGATTTGAGCGGGATATAAAGTTGAACGAATAAATAAATAAATAAATAAATAAATACAGGTAAGTCCCATCATCCAAAGAAAAAGGATCAGGAGATGCCAGCAGCGGGGAAGGCCGGGTGGGATTGTGGTACTGCACAGATGACCACTCGGAGATCATCAGTTACAGGTAAGCAACCTGTTTATCTTCGTCGTGGTCTCTGTGCAGTCCCACATATGGGTGATTACAAGAGCTAAACCAGTTGGAGGAGGGTGCTGGTAGCTGAAAAAGACAAAAACACTGGTTAAGCCACTGCATCATGAATGACAATTCACCCAAGGGTCCTACCTGAGGAAGCAGCAGGGTCAGTTGAATAGAGACCGCAGCACCGCCTGGCCAAATGCAGCATCCCGTCGAGCTCAAACATTGAGCGTGTAGCGGGTCACAAAGGTCGATGCCGAAGACTACATAGCAGCGGTGCAGACGTCTTCCAGCAGGACGCCAGCCAGGAAAGCAGTGGACGTTGAGACTGCCCGCGTAGAGTAAGGAGCAATAAAGGTAGGAGCGCGTTGACGTGCAAGCTCGTAGCAAAAGTCTATGGTGGAGGTCACCCATTTAGACAAATGTTGAGAAGAAATGGGCTCCCCCAATTTAGGGGGGCCATAAGCAACAAACAACCTAGGAGACTTACAGATAGGCTGAGTTCAAGACAATTAAAAAGAGAGGGCTCTATGCACGTCGAGACAGTGCAAGGCTCTTTGAGGTGCATCAGCAGGAGTCGGGAAGAAAGTAGGCAAGACAGACGCATGAGACAGGTGAAAGGCAGAAACAACTTTAGGGAGGAAAGAAGGATCGGGTCTAAGGACAACCTTCTCCCTATGAAAAATCGTATATGGGGGATCAGCCCTAAAGGCAGCTAGTTCCCCTACTCTGCGAGCAGTTGTTATGGCTATAAGGAAGGCCGTCTTCCAGGAGAGGAGCAGCAGATCGATGGTAGCCATTGGTTCAAAAGGCTTGGACATGAGTTGAGTGAGGACAAGAGATAGACTCCAGGCAGGCACCAAGGGCTTTCTAGGAGGGCAGAGCCGAAGGAGACCTTTGAAGAACAACTTGGTCAGACGGTGGGAAAACACAGTAGATCCCTGTATTAAGGGATGGTAGGCGGAGATAGCTTCTAAGTGGACCTTTAAAGACGAGTAGGCAAGGCCAGCATCCTTGAGGGAGACGACATAGGTGAAAATCTCATGGAGGGACGACCTGAGGGGGTCAAAGGAGTGCTCAGAGGCATACAAGTGGAACCTCTTCCATTTGAGACGATAAGTGGCTCTGGTAGAGGGTTTTCTGGCACTCAGGAGGACTTCAGACACCCCGGGGGGGAAGTCTAATGCAGGATCTTCCAGGCCGTCAAACGAAAGAAGCCCGGGTTCAGGTACAGGATCCTCCCTCAAGCCCAAGAGAGGAGATTGGGGGCCATTGGCAGTGGGTGGAATGTCTGATTGTACAGACGGAGGAGGTGAGGGAACCAGACCTGGCGTGGCCACCAGGAAGTGACAAGAATGCAGGACGTGGCATCTGCCATAATCTTCTGGACGACTTGGGATATTAGAGGGAATGGAGGAAAGAAATAAAACAGGGTTCTGTTCCACGGGTGAAGGAAGGCATCCCCTAGCGAGTGAACAGATGGTGGTCCTCCTGCGAAAAAGAGGCGGCAATGGGTATTGTCAGCAGTCGCAAAGCCGTCGATGATGGGACGACCGAACTCCCGAAAAACAGGGTGGAGATATCGATGATGAATGGACCATACGATGTCGGGCGACCGGGTATGACTCTGATGATCGGCATCGACATTCAGAATGCCCGGAATGTGAATGGCAAAGAGGGAGACGGAGTGGATCAGACACCAATCCCAGAGAGCAATGGCCGAGGCGCAAAGACGAAGCGATACCTCCCTGCTTGTTCACATAGCAAACGGCAGTGTTGTTGTCGGAGGCAACTTGAACTATCCGACCCCGGACAACTGGAAGAAACGATCGTAGAGCTATATGTATTGCACAGAGCTCCAAGACATTGATATGGAGGGGAGCGTCACGGGAAGACCAGGGTCTGTTAGCCGAAAGCGTTCCACACTGGGCTCCCCAACCCCAGAGGGAGGCATCGGTGGACAGGGAGATCTGTGGGGCCAGGCGCCAAAAGGGCATGCCGGAGAGGAGGTTCTGTGGACATGACCACCAAACGAGGGAGGCGACGACCTGGGGTGGAATGGAAAGGGTTAAGTGCCACAGGCTGCGAAGGGGGTCGAAGACACGGAGCATCCACAGTTGTAGGGGATGCATCCTCAATCTGGCATGACGGACTAGAAAGACAGTGGACGCAAAGTGCCCCAGGAGCCTCATGACGGACCAAGCGGATTGTCGGGGAGTAGCTTGGAATTTGGAGACCAAGGACAGGATGTCGGATGCTCTTGAATCCGGGAGAAAAGCGGTTTTGAGGGAGGTATCGAGGCGAGCCCTGAGAAACTGAAGGACTTGGACTGGCTGGAGAAACGACTTGGACGGGTTGACACAGAGCCCCAAGGCTCGAAGAAGGGAGAGGGTTACTTTGAGATCGGAGAGGAGTTGGGTCCGCGTAGCGGCTACGAGAAGCCAGTCGTCTATGTAGGGATAAAGGGAAATCCCTTGACGATGACCACTACAGCCATTAGTTTGGTAAAAACTCTGGGCGCGGTACAGAGTCCAAAGGGGAAGACCCGATATTGGTAATGGTCGGGGCTGACAGCGAAGCAGAGAAATTTTCGATGTTGTGGCTGGATAGTGGCGTGAAAATATGTGCAAAATTTCTTTTTTC